GTATCAGGCCCTGGCATTGGATATATAGTTAAACTTAGACACATACTAGTCCCGGTATGATTTAGCGCGAAGGACTTCCAATGTGCCGACCTTGTCAATGAATACGGAACACAAGCCAAGGAGAACCTTACGAAACACAATCACTCAAAAACAATACAAGAAACCGAAAATATTAATATACGTGGTTCATCACACTCTTTAAACGGCAGCGTAAAGTATGACACAATTAGAAATTGAGCCAAGGGAAAAAGAATAGATTTATGAAGGTAATTTTATTACTTCACGAAATTCAACAATCTTGCATAGTACAAAGGCTTGTCCAATACGGTCCAAACGAGCTGCTGATACTAAGCGTTATAATGCTTCATTTAAAAGTTTAGCTGGTTGTACATAGCCTTCAGATGCTCCATTTAGTACTTTAGCTGCTGTTATTTAGCCTTTTAATGCTCTACTTGAACGTTCTTGTACATGGCCTCTTAATGCTCCATTTAGTACCTTAGCTGCTGTTATTTAGCCTTTTAATGCTCTACTTGAACGTTCTTGTGCATAGACTCTTAGTGTTCCATTTAGTAGGTTAGTTCCCGTTCCCTAGTCTCCTAATTCTTTACTTGAACGATTAGCTGGTTGTTCATAGCCTCCTAATGTTCCGATTAGTTGTTGATCTACTGTTACTAAAGTCCTAAACCCTAAAAACGCGGCTGATAGCTTGCCGTGGCCTTAACCGCCTGGCAAACATGGAATGCAAAAGTACAGACTTTGACAAAATCGGGTCAGCTCAGCTCTACAGTGGCTCAAGAACTTTGTTTTTAATAGTGAACATAAGATTAGATGGTAATCCTCCTAGAAAGACATTGTAGCCCAAGGCCGAGAGTTAGTATGTACTGTATAGTACTTTTTTATTGTATATGTACTGTGTAGTATATATTTATTGTGTATGTACTGTGTAGTCTATATTTATTGTGTATGTACTTTGCAGTATATATTTATTGTGTTGCTGCTCGTTGACCGTTTCTATTGGCTGGCTAGGATGACCCGGAACGCCTGTGTCACCCCATCCACCACATCGGCTGTCTTTGTTCGCACAGCTGGAATACACAGAAATTGATCGAAGAGAATTCAGAATCAAACTAATTTAGAAAGTTAAACGTATAAACCACTAAAACAAATTAATAAAGGAATTAATGTATAAAACCACTAGTATACTTTGCATTGCTACTAGTAGGATCATATCTGTGCTATAAGTGGAACACGGTCAGCTATTTGAGGCTGGGATAGGAATAAGTTGAGCCAAGGAAGAACATTGGGATGATTTTGGGCCTTGACAAGGTATAGGATAACACGTAATCGTGGTGCACAGCAGGAATACTAGAAAGTAGAGGAGAGGACTCAGTATAAGTAATAACATATCTTACGAATAGAACGAAATACTGCATACAGAGTACGGAAGATATTACCCTTTTATATCAACAAAGAGGTATAGTTATGGGATTATGTGTACTTAACTGACAAAGAACTTGTACGCAAGGGTATCTATGGTATTGTTTATATGTATCCTACTAATAAAGA